TTCCTTTCTTTATTTTTCCATAGGATCATATGTAGCCCAGGCTGGCTTCGAACTTGCTATGTAACTGAGAATGATCTTGAACTTCTGATCCTTGTACCTCTACCTCCTAAGTGCTGGAGTTATTAATATATGCCACCATGCTTAGTTTTATGATGCTGGGATTGAACCCATGGCATTGTGCATGCTAGGCCATAGGCAAACACTCTGTCTACTGAGCCACATCCCAGCCCTCAGAATCCATTTTCAGTATATTGCTCCAGGCAGCTCCTGCAGTTGATCAGCAGTTGAGACCCATTTGATCTCCATGGGCAGTTTTCCAAAGCCATTCATCTAAGCCCTCAGTCTGATTATTAGCTGACTCCTGAGCTAACAATCCTGTCCCAGACACTGGTTTAGTTCTCCTGTAAAGGGGTTGAGGACTTACTAGGTTGAGACCAGAGTTGTCAACATAAGCACAATATGTAATTTTAAATTTTCTAGTAGTGCACACCTGTAATCCTAGGACTTGGGAGGCTAAGGCAGGAGAATTGTGAGTTTGAGCCTAGTCTGAGCTACATAATGCGTATCAGACTAGCCAGAGCTATATAGCAAGATCTTGTCTCAAAAAACACAAAACTGGGCTGGAGAGATGACTCAGTGGTTAAGAGCACTTGCTCTTCAATCAGCACCCATATCAGGTGGCTTACAAACACCTGTAACTACAGCTCCAAGGGACCCAACACCCTCTTCTGGACACTGCGATCACCTGCACACACATGCATGCATGTACCCACACAGACACAGACACACACATGAATTTTAGACGTTAAAATGATTTTTATTTCATTTTTAAAAGATATATGTATTTTTAAGACTTTAAAATTTTTATGTGTATGAGTGTAATGCCTGCTTGTAGGTAGGTGCACCCATGTTGTGCATTGCCCATGGAGGTCAGAAGAGGGCGTCAGTTACCCTGGAACTGGAGTTACAAATGGTTGTTAGCTGCTATATGGGTTCTGGGAATTGAACCCTGGTCCTCTGCAAGAGCAACGAATGCTCTTAACTGCTGAGCCATCTCTAGAGCCCTAGAATTTATTTATTTTTATTGTAAAATAAAAATATGAGTGTTTTTCCTGCCATGTATGTGAGTATACCATGTGTGTTCCTTGTGTCAGAAAAGGGTGCCAAATCCCCTGGAACTTGAGTTAAAGACAATTATTAGCTGCCATAGCGGTGCTGGGAACTGAACCCCAGTCCTCTGGAGGAGCAGCCAGAGGACTGGCTCTTAACTGCTGAACTATCTCTCCAGTCCCTAATTCATTTTTATTTTTAAATTTTTTGCTTTTTGAGACAGGGTCTCACTATGTAGCCCCAGCTGGACTAGAACTCACTGCATAGACCAGGCTGACCTCAAACTTATAGAAATCCACCTGCCTCTGTCTTCCAAGCGCTGGGATCTTAGGTGAGATTAATTTTGAATATTTTATTGAACCAAATATCTTGTCACTTCTAGCATGAAATATAAAGAAACTATTGAGGAGTCCAGTGTGGTGGTGCACACCTTTAATCCCAGCATATGGGAGGCAGAGGCATGCAGATTTCTGTGAAATCAATGCCTGCCTGGTCTTCATAGCAAGTTTCAGGCCAGGGGCTCCAAGGAGACCCTGTCTCAAAAAGCCCAAATAGGAAGAAAGCATTGAGGTTGATTTTTTTTGGGAGGGGGGAGCTGGGGCCAGAATTCAGGGCCTTGTGCATGCTATGGTAAGTGCTCTACTCTTGAGCCACACCCCCAGCCATAGGGAAATGTGTGTGTGTGTGTGTGTGTGTGTACCTTTTTTCTGTTTCCTTCAAGATTTAATTTTAAATTAAAAAAAAATTTAATAACTACAG